AACAAAGATAAGAACTTTGTATAACTCTGATACTGAAACTTACTTAAAGGGATAATAACTCTTCGTATGAAATCTGTATTTCTCAATAAAAACATTGTGAGTGACTCATAAAAATATAATATATTCTGTTTTCCCACAAAAACGGCTGTTATACCTATTATTCTGATATCTGAGCTTGTCTTTAGACCACGTGACCTCCATTGATGGCTATACTATGTTAAAATCTCTTAAGAGATTTTAACAAAAAACCAAACTTTTTAGAAAAAAACCAGGGACTAACTTTGAATGTAAAAATGGATTCATTAACCATTGGTAAGTATGGGAAAATTGTTGTTTACTCCAGGAAAATTCATTTTTTGGCCAAAACGAAGAGTTATTATCACTTTAAGCAACTAACTGACATTGAGGTCTCAACCTGCTGGTCAGATACTAACGATAGTTTCAGTATCAGAGTTATACTTTGTTCTCATTCTAATTCTACTGGATGATTCAAAACATGCACTTAAAAGGGACAGAGATGTTTAGTAACCAGACTGTTTCACTAAGTAAAGTAGACAGAAATATTAAAGCAACTGTTCAATTCCTATCTAAACACTAACAATGCTCGACAAGCATTTCCTGAAATTCCAGAAATCTGACTCAGTAACAAATGTCATACAGTCACATAAATTATATAAAAACTAAATCAGCCATTCCATGATATTTTTCTGAACAAAAGTGAGAATGTTTCACTGAAGTAAAAACATCTTCCTGTCAGTTTGACAGTTCCTATTTATCATATTGAAATCTTTCCTCGGTCCAACATTATTTGAAAATAAAATTTGTTTTTGTTTTTTATCTTAAGGTGCCCAGTGTAATATTTTTCAGCAAAAACTCACGCTTAACAAATTTTCCTGGGATAAATGCTATCTTTCTCCTACTTCCCATAATTTTGTAACAACCTGGAAAATTTAAAAGTCCTAAAGCATAAGGTTGGTTTGTCAAAGTCTGCCATTCAGGGTTGGGTGCAATTCAAAACTGTGTCAAAAATGTTGTCAGGTGGCTAGGTCCATCAGGAGATAATAAACTATATTATTTTTGGAAACACTGATTCATGGTATTTATCTGANACAAAGATGAGAACTATGTATAACTCTGATACTGAAACTTACTTAAGCAACTAACTGACATTGAGGTCTCAACCTGCTGGTCAGATACTAACGATAGTTTCAGTATCAGAGTTATACTTTGTTCTCATTCTAATTCTACTGGATGATTCAAAACATGCACTTAAAAGGGACAGAGATGTTTAGTAACCAGACTGTTTCACTAAGTAAAGTAGACAGAAATATTAAAGCAACTGTTCAATTCCTATCTAAACACTAACAATGCTCGACAAGCATTTCCTGAAATTCCAGAAATCTGACTCAGTAACAAATGTCATACAGTCACACAAATTATATAAAAACTAAATCAGCCATTCCATGATATTTTTCTGAACAAAAGTGAGAATGTTTCACTGAAGTAAAAACATCTTCCTGTCAGTTTGACAGTTCCTATTTATCATATTGAAATCTTTCATCGGTCCAACATTATTTGAAAATAAAATTTGTTTTTGTTTTTTATCTTAAGGTGCCCAGTGTAATATTTTTCAGCAAAAACTCACGCTTAACAAATTTTCCTGGGATAAATGCTATCTTTCTCCTACTTGCCATAATTTTGTAACAACCTGGAAAATTTAAAAGTCCTAAAGCATAAGGTTGGTTTGTCAAAGTCTGCCATTCAGGGTTGGGTGCAATTCAAAACTGTGTCAAAAATGTTGTCAGGTGGCTAGGTCCATCAGGAGATAATAAACTATATTATTTTTGGAGACACTGATTCATGGTATTTATCTGATAAAAAGTTCGAAAAGTATACTGTAACTGTAAACAATTTTATCTTAACCATTTCATGAATGCATACACTTTCATTAACAATATGTAGTAAAGGCAAATACAAATACAAAAAAATATTACAGTGTGTTTATAGATTACTTCAATAAATACTTCAAACTTCTTCTCTAAAAGAGTGATCATTAATGTTTAAACTGCATGATGTATAAAAAAAGTTTCATAGTAAGTAAAAAGGATACAATGACCTGGACTTTACCTGAAATAACAAGAGCACAATACATAATCATTACAATGTTCATTTCAATAAGAAATATATACTGCACTAAAGAACTGGCTTATTGTCTTTAGGGAGCATCTAGGCTGTTAACACATTTAAATGCAAATAATACTTATCACTTATCATTGCATATTTTATGGGTGATTTTTCAGCATTACTAAGTTCTTATAATAATCCATAATGTGCACAATATTTAAAATGCTTGAAACATGTTAAATAAGTGCTAAGTAAAGTCTTCCAACTAAAGCGGCAAGCCTGGGTCACAACCGGACGCACAAATTTTGTTTTCACCTTGGATAGGTATATCACAATCCGCTAGGGGCGCTACAGTAGTAACTATCAAGGGGCAGTGAAGTGTAAAACAGATATCGGCCTGCTGACAGCTCGCCTATGGCACCCCTTTTTTAAATCTCTCTTTTAGCGCCATGTAAATAAACAAATACAAGCCATTTACTAGATAAGCTGTAAATCAAAGAGTGAATTCCTGTCACGTGATTTTCCGTGTTGCAGTCTTAGAGAACTTTGATTTGAGGACGTTTTTAAGTTTTGTATCGACAAAATGTTAAAAATTTCAGATAAGTACTGCATGGAAGTTTTTGTAATTTATTCCGTGTAAAGTTCATGAAATTTGCAGTATTATGCCGAAAAATCATGAAAATTGAACCATGCGAAGTATAGTTTATTTGATGCGCAATATTTATAGTACATGATCTGCACAGAAGCCATCCCAGCCATGTGCTTGTGCGGTCGCCAATTTGGGTTTGTTTCTGGGTCATTAGATTAACATACAGCCCTAATTGCCCTAATTGGTCACAAGCAATTTGAGCTGCAGCTACAGCTGAGTGATCACCGCTGGTCAGTACTGTACAGGTAGTTACAGGTTTTTAGCTGAAGAGTGTGGACACTTTTGGTGAATTTTTGCAGTTAAAAAACTTCAATATCTTTGTTGCTTGTAGGAATATTTTTAAAAATTCCAAAAGAATTCATCTGTTTTTTGTATTACCTTTCAGAAGATATAAGTATAATAATTTTCTGATCAGTTTGAAAAATTTTCTGATATACCTACCTTGGATTTCTTCAAAAGCAGTAATAAATATTCAGTTGCGCACATAAACAAACACAAATCTACTAGTGTTTAACACTGTCGCCTCATTTCAAAATACTTGAGCCTAGAAATATTCTGAAAATTTCCTAAAAACAATCAATGATTAAGCACCATTGACCAACATAAATTTTGTAGTCTTACCTCGGTGTTGTGGGTTAGCCGCCATTTTCAAACACACATGCTTCGCACTGTGTCACTATGATTTATAAAAATAAATATCACAATTTACAAGAGTTTTATTACAATGGAATAGGGTCAAACTTTTAAAGAAAAAAACTTGACTTCATCTGATTAATTTTTATTGGTATTTAAAGCAAGTTACTCTCACAAGATCCTTCGATAACTACAACTGCGGGCCTATTGGCCATGTGTACGTCGTCGAATGTTGCCACATCATCAAGTAGTATAACGTTACATTTTGAATGTTCGTTTCAAATAACTTTTTCTTGGAATTGAATCACATATTTTTTCAATAAAAGTATCTATTTTGATTGTTCGAAGGCAGAGAAGCATCTCTCAAGTTGAATATTTGTACGGATATTAATACCGGAACTTGTTGGCCACGTGATCAGTCACTTCCCCTTTCGCCTCCGATCATCAACACAGTGAAGATGAGTACCACACCACAACCGGCTGTTCAACGTGGAATTGTAAAACAGGTACACTGATTTTTGAAAAAGAAGTTAAATTTGAGGTAGAATAGTTATAGCTTTGCTATGTGAAAATTCAGTGGTACTTGTTTTCGTACTTTGTCAAAAACTTGAAGCCGAATTTGTACAATCTGTTGCTCCCCAAAATAGGTCAGGAGTTTTTGCCCATGTGGCATATTAAATTTTTGAAGTAGAATAACTTTTTGCTCACATTTAAACAAAATTATGTGGTTTTTATTCTCTGTATTTATTGTGTTTATGATTAATAGGACTTAAGTGATATGTTCCATTTTCAAAGAGATTGTACATGGATTCATATAGATCCGAAAATTGATCAACATATGATAGACCAGAAATTAGTTTTCAACACTTGGTTGATTTTTTAAAACTGAATTTAAGTAATGTGTTATCATAAAGCAAATTGAAAGATGAGCTGTTGATGCTACTTATTCGTTTTTTTTTTCAGTTTATTTAAGTTGGTAGTTGAATATTATCATTATAGATATTGTAATTTGTAGATGGAAATGAATTAAATCTACTCATAAAAGGATCCTTCCTTAACTGATTTCCTGTTAATTTCATCTAGATATTTGCTATATGTTTATATTTAGTCAACTTACTATATTTCATTTAGATTCTTTCTGGTGATGCAATTGTCATCAGAGGACAGCCTAGAGGAGGCCCACCTCCTGAGAGGACCATCTGCCTCTCAAATGTTACAGCACCAAGACTAGCAAGGAGAGCCAACCCAAACTTAGAGGGCTCTACAGAAACTAAAGATGAGGTGATCACTTTATTTATTTTTGATAATTAATTGTGGTGGCTTGAAAGAAGTATTAGCCTGCTGTCTCAGTTTAATTAGTTTAAGGACAACACTATAAGAACTCGCCTGGTGCTTAGGCTGTGTTCACATGGAAAATCTATTTTCTAAAAATCTAAAAATCTATTTTCGGTATCTTGTGATCATGGTCTGTGCCCTGGATAACCCGCAGCGTGATTACTGGCAGCGCCGAGAATTAATTACAGCTTTGGAAGTAACACAGTTTGTTATTATTTTCAGGCCTTTGCATGGGAGGCTAGAGAATTTTTGAGAAAGAAGTTAATTGGTAAAGAAGTAGCTTTCACAGTGGAGTATAAAGTCCCAGGCTCTGGCAGAGAGTATGGATGTGTTTATCTTGGAAAAGGTAACATAGTGATTTTATTCATGCATATATCTTAAAAAGCATTCAGTGAATAAGCTAACAGATCAGTAGCAAGACATGCATCTTAGTATTATGTGTATACGTTTTATGCTGCACTAGTGTATTAAATATGAACATATGATAAATTTTTTTTTCAGACACTTCTGCAGAAAATGTCACAGAAATTCTTGTGGCAGAGGGATTAGTTGAGGTGCGGAGAGGAGGCATTAAAGCTACAGAGTAAGTAGATTTACAAATAATATGCCCTGAATATAAGATGTTCAGATGTTTTATGCTCACCGGACTAGTTTTGTCATGAAAGGTTTGATTTTCTGTTTCCAAGTAATGAGATTGCATTTTAGAAAAAAAAAACTCCTAACATCAAGCGTGCTCATTTTTTATACACTGCACATTTATTTTGCTCTTTCTAATTTTCTGTACTTATCTTTTATCATGTGCAGTGAAAACCAGCAGAAGTTGATCCAGCTTGAAGATACAGCCAAGGGGGCCGGTAAGGGTAAATGGGGCCAGTATCAACCAGGAGAGCACATCAGGAATATAACATGGACCATTGAAAACCCTAGGAACTTTGTTGATTCTCACCATGGAAAACCCGTCAGTGGTAAGGAAATAAAGATGATAAGATAGTGTTCAGTGATAATTGGCCTTTGTTAAGTGTATAATTATTTCTGGTTGGGTAGCATAAATACATATTCCAATTAGGGATGATGAGAGGAGTACCTCCTGACTGTCTCTTATCTCCCCCATATTATGTAAGTTTTATCTTGGTTTCTAGATTTGAAATCTAAGATTTTATCAGCACTGGATAATGACCCTATTGTGACAGTCTGCAAAATTCATACATTGGGGGTTTTACACATTCTGTGTCTTAGTGTACTTAACATTCTGTGCACTTGGATATGTTTAATATATCTTTATTCATAAGAAGATTATGCACATTTTATACATGAATCATTTTCTTATGTTCTTTATACATGCTAATATTTTTCTGTTGTAGCTGTCATAGAACATGTGAGAGATGGGTGCACAGTGCGAGCATTCCTTCTTCCAAACTTTGACTATGTGACTGTCATGTTGTCTGGAATTAAGGTATCCTACTATAAATCCATAAAAAGGGATTTTTCCACAGATAATAAAGAAATAAATGTTTTTATTGATGCTGTAAAAGGGGAATAGGAACAAAAATATATTTTGAATTTTTCTGGTAATGTTCTTTGTAGTTTAAAATACAGTTCCATCAAAAATAATTTCAGGTTCTACTTTAAGAAAAAAATATTTACTGAATTTAAGTATATTAATATCTTTTAGTGCCCTATGTTCAAATTGGAAGGGACCACACCAAAACCTGAACCATATGCTGAAGAGGCCAAATTTTTCACCGAATCTCGACTTCTGCAGAGAGAAGTAGAGATCATCCTGGAAGGAGTGTCTAATAATAACCTTCTTGGATCTGTCCTTCATCCAGTAAGTAACATTTTTTATGAAAGTTCATTTCTTTTTTCTCTTTTAAATGTGTTTTGTTGATTGACTGTTTTTGTTGGAATTTCTTTGACATTTTGTACAATATTTCTTATGCAAGTGTTTTAAATAATTTTAATTATCAAATTACAACAAATTACAGAAAGGTAATATTGCGGAGCTTCTCTTGCGTGAAGGTTTTGCTCGCTGTGTAGACTGGAGCATGGGAAGTGTGTCTCAGGGTGCAGACAAACTCAGAACAGCAGAGAAGTAAGGAGCCTTACTCCTCTTTTTATGTGGAATAATTACATTATGCATGTAGTTTTCTTTATTGTTCAAGATATTTAAGTAAGGAAAAAGTACGTTTGAAGAGGATTTCTTTCCTTTTTACAGCTATTTGGCAGTCAATGTGAAATGCATATCACAGAGAAGCTTTTATGGTTTATCAACTATAACAACAACAACAACTGAAAAAGGTCTATACACATCCAAAGTGATAATTCTCTTTTACTATGATTAATCTGAACTGTCTCCATCATACAGTACAATATCCTGTTATATTTTTAAAGATTTGCAAAGGAGAAAAGACTTCGCATTTGGAAAGATTTTACACCAAGTACCCCAACTGTTGAATTGAAGGACAAGAACTTCTCTGGAAAGGTACATATTGTCTGGAAAACCATCCAGATTTTTTCCTTGTAGATTGAATACCAAATATATAAAAAGATTTAAGATTTGTGTAGCAACCAAAAGAGTAAACAAGTAATTAAGAGTAACAATTATTAAGTTGTTTTTTTTTATTTGTTAAAATATAACAAAAACATGCAAAATGTATACATTTCTGCAACTTTTAATGTGTCTAATGTAGAATGTTTTGAGCTCATCATATTAGAAAAATAGTGCAAGTGAAAATGTTAATGGTAGCAGCAGGTGCTGACATTTTCCATTATCTACACTTATGTTGTTTTCTTTTCAGGTGGTTGAAGTGGTCAATGGTGACTCTTTGATGGTGAAAATAGGAGAAAACCAGTACAAGAAATGTTTCCTTTCAAGTGTTAGACCACCCAGGTACTGCCTGGCAATTGTATATTTGGCACAAGACAGTCAGTAGACAGTTGCTTATGGAAACTTTTCCATTGGGGAGTAAAAGACTTAAGTTGGATTGAGGGAAAATTAAGAAAGAGAAATGAAAGCATTTTAATTACTGATTGTTTTTGGTAAAAAAAAGAACTTGTGACAATTTATTTTTGCAGACCTGCACCAATTACCGATGCTGATGAGCCCAAAAAAGATGAGCCCAAAAAACGATCCAGACCTCTCTATGACATCCCATATATGTTTGAAGCAAGAGAGTTTTTGAGAAAGAAATTGGTTGGAAAGAAGGTATGCATCCACACCAAAGTTATTATTTCTGTTAATTTTGAGGTTTGATTTATAGTATGATTAAATAATTCAAAACTTATTTTGTGAAGTGTAGAGTTATTTATTTGATCATGGTTAGAGTTATTTATTTAATCATGGTTTGAAAAATTAACATTAGGGTAAATGTATGTTTAATTTTAAGGTAAATGTCCAGATTGATTACATTCAACCTCCTGCCAACAACTTCCCTGAGAAGACATGCTGTACTATCACCATTGGTGGAATGTAAGCATTTTTAATCAAATGTACAATACAAGTAAAAAATAATTTCAATGTGTTAATTGTGAATATGAACAATACTTCAGACTTATTTTGATTCACATTCCTGCAAAGGTAATTTTCTCTTCCACTATAAAGGTCTATAAGTTTTGAAGAATGAAACAAACAAACAAACAAACAAACAAAAACAGTTTATAACCAGAAAAGAGAATAAATTTACTTTGAAAACATTCTCTCCAGCTATCGGATTTAAATCTATTCCTTTTTTCCCCAGTAATGTTGCTGAGGCGCTGATCAGCAAAGGTTTAGCCTCAGTTATCAGGTACAGACAGGATGATGACCAGAGGTCTGCCCATTATGATGAACTGCTGGCTGCAGAAGCCAGGGCAGAAAAGAAAGGAGTGGGTATCCACAGCAAGAAAGAGCCACCAATTCACAGAGTTGCAGATATATCAGGAGTAAGTTGAACATCTATAAATCTTCTTTTCAAAACTGGAAAAGTTTATGAAGTAAGTTAGGTAAAAACTATTGCTCATTTTAAGAATTGGAATTTTTAGCTTTGAAAATGTGAATGTGCTCATATAATTTATATTGTTTATAAAGTGAAGAATTAAAAGTGATTTTCATGGTGCATTTATGCTTAACTGTATAGTTTGTATCAAAATTGTTCGTGAGACTTTTTATTTGATGTTTGGAATTATACAGGATGTGAATAAGGCCAAGCAGTTCCTGCCATTCTTGCAAAGAGCAGGAAAGTCTGAGGCCATTGTGGAGTTTGTTGCAAGTGGTTCCAGGCTCAGGTTGTTTATTCCTAGGGAGACTTGCCTCATTACATTCTTGCTTGCAGGTGATGCTTTATTTTATATTAATGATACTAGACATAAATTTGCTTAAAATATTAACAATAACATGAAATTTTCTTTTAACGCCATTCAAAAATCCAGCCAACCAAGTAACTACTAACACACACACACACACACACACACAATGCATTTTTCTTTACCTCTCCTAGCATGCAAAACGTGAATATAAATTACCTAAGGGTGATATACAGGAGGTTGTTTTAGATCAACATTAAAAAGAATGTATCCTTTGACATTCCAGGTATTGATTGTCCCCGTGGCAGTCGCCCAGGTCCCAATAACACCACAGTTCCAGGAGACCCATGTGGTGAGGAGGCCATGGTGTTTACTAAGGAAGCTTGTCTGCAAAGAGAGGTGTGTATACTGTCTACAGAAATTATCATTATCCCAAAACATATGTCAGTAATTAAAAAAACTAAAAACTGTTCAAAGGATCATATTTCTTTTAGAAGGAAAGTTATGTGGCATAGATCATGATTATGATTTTTCTTACTCATGCATGTCTTTGAGAAGAATGTGGCAGTCATTTGCTTATCAAAGTACCAATTTTGAGTCAAGTTGTATTTCACTTTGTGCCATGTTTGTGTCAGTTGTGTTCCTGATTCACCTTTTTTGAAGTTCCCCCAAGGGAAACCTGGTTGTTTACAGGAAGTCTTTTGACGTAATTGTGCATCCAGATAACTTGTCTTTGAAATGCATTGGCATTTGTTTTATCTTAATTGGCTCATTATTCTTGACAGTGTGAAATTTAAACTGTGATTTATCCACAATAGAATGCAATAAGTGAAATTTTGGACTGAATTAGAATGCATATCATTTTTCCTATTTTGGTTTTTCTTAAAGGTTGAGGTAGAGGTAGAATCCATTGACAAGGGAGGGAACTTCATTGGCTGGATGTTTGTGGATGGTGTCAATCACTCCATATCACTTGTAGAGGAAGGCCTATCAAAGATGCACTTCACTGCAGAGAGGAGTAACTTCTACAAAGCCTTGTCAACAGCTGAGGAAAGGGCAAAGGAGTTGAAGAAAAATGTAATAAGTCCCATTTTATTCACCTGAATTAATGAAGTACATTAAGGAAATTGGACAGATATTAAGCGATTATTTTGTACAAATTAGAAAAGACTTTCAGATGAAGGTAATTGAATTCCTGTTAAGATTTCATATCATAGCACTTGTTTTGTGAGATAATGGCTAAAAGGAAATTAAGAGGTGCAAATTGATTAGTTTTACTGTCCATGTTCCGTGTATGCATTCTGACAATTCTTTTGCCGTATATTGTACTGAAAAGATGACCATACTTATCTAAGCATGTGTCTGTGTTTTGTACACTAAATATATATATTGATATAAATAACTATTAGGTCTGGGCTAATTTTGTGGAAGAGAAGCCTGTAGAAGAAATTGATGAAGGTCCTCAGGAGAGAGCTGTCAATCATAAAACAGTTGTGGTCACAGAGGTCAGAGAAGATATGCATTTCTATGCACAGGATGTGGAAAATGGTGAGTTATTAATACAGAAGGTGTTGAATATTACTCTTATGGGTTATGTTTCTGGTTAGCTACTATCAGTGTGGTAGTTAGTTTCTAAATAAAAAATGAGTTACATAGTAAAATATGTAATTTAAGATTTAAGTTTTTGGAAATACACATATACAAAATACAAATTATTTAATTTTTTTTGTTAGTAACAAATTGAAGTTTTACATGCTGAGGACCTGAGTGAGGCCTTTTTTTTTAATTATTATTATTATTATTATTATTATTATTATTATTATTATTATTCTTACCACTCCTATAAGGTAGGAGTAAATGTAGTAACCAAAAGAATGTTGATGTGGGCCTATGCTTATGCTAGAGCCATTCTGGAGATTAGAGTTTGTTTCATAATCTCTACAGGACCCAAGCTAGAAAAACTGATGGAACAGTTGAGACAAGACATGGAGACCAACCCGCCACTCCCCGGCTCCTACACTCCCAAGAAGGGAGACCTGTGTGCAGCTAAGTTTGTAGATGGAGAATGGTAAGTTGACTCAGTTGACTTTATCTTAATAGGGCTTTATGGAATAGTACTATAAATGGAGATATAGAGCTTAGGGTAATCATTTTTTGAACAGGCATGGTCTAAATTTTTAGTTTAAACAGTTTTTAAGTTTTAATAGTCTACTTCTTCAGCTTTGTGGTGAACACCAAGTGCAGTTGAAATTACTTAAGATGGTGGAACATAAATGTCATTTTTAATTCATTTTTTTTTCTTTTTTTTTTTTTTTTTTTTTTTGAGAAATCATCCTTCACTTTTTCTTACAGGTACAGAGCTAAAGTGGAGAAAGTTGACAAGAACAATGTACATGTATTTTACATGGATTATGGCAATGTAAGCATATTACACAATATCAGAACTTTGATCATTTATATTTACTCTTTCATTTCATTATTGACTGTGTACACCAGGTTTTGCACAAGATTGTTTATTTGGAATTGTGATGCAACTAACTGGAACAAACACACAATCCTAGCAGTTTGACAGTTGAAATCATAATAAACACTCCTTACAGCTCAGTTGAATTAATTCTCATTTAACAACAATTTGGAATAACAAAGTTGTAAGCATGTGGAACTGAAACAACGTCTATGCAGATTTTTCAAAGTTATTCATAAATCTTCCTGGGTAAATGACTTTACATCAGTCAACCAGTAAATGAAGAAATGTTTTAATTACAGAGAGAAGCACTTTCCCCTACAAGATTAGCTGTCCTGACCCCTACCTTCCATGGCCTCCCACCTCAAGCCAAGGAATATGCCTTGGCCCTGGTAGCTGTGCCTGAAGATGTAAGTATATGAGTTGAATGAAGAAAAAGAAAGAAGTTGTGAATAAGAGTTGGGTCAAGGAAAAAAACAGTATGGAGATGCAGAGAAATGGCCAATAATGGTATGTTTGTGTTTTAAGTATTTTTCTTATTGTCTTATTGTTACTGTTGCGTGAGAATATTACAACTGCTCCTTTGATGATTTGATCAAAAATTTCCTACATCAAACAATGATTTATAAAACACGAAGAAACATTTTTCTCAATAAAGGGCCCTGTTAAGTATATAACCTTATTGGCTCGTCTAAGTTTTCTTGAAATATGAAAGGCAGGTTGTCAGTGCCTTGGTAGCTTTGTAAATGTGGCTCTTAAAAACTTACATTCTTGCTTTAGCAAACAGTCTGAAAACGTACTGTTGCATTTACTGAAGCAGACATGTTATTGAATATGATGCACATTTTCATTCACATTTTTGGCCACAAGTGACTTGGTTTCATCTGTTCTAAGTGATAGCTTTTCACAACTATTTAGGTGCATTTTCCACACAGACATTGCACTGGTTTGATTCCATGTTTCCTGTGGTTGCTTTATTGCTTGAATATATCAGCCATGATAAGTTACATCCTCAGGGGTATTTTGCACCATTTGGGGATTTTAACTTAGCAGATGAAGTGGTCATTATTCAGTTCATGTCAAATTAGATAATTCAGCACTGCAGAAATTATACACTTGTAGGAGGGAGAGGCATGAAAAAATTCTCAGTGGGTCTGTTTCGCAGTTTTTAATTTAGTTATAATGTCAAGTTTGGGCACTCAAGAGAAGAAAAAATATTGGTTAAATGTCATTTGGTGTCATCTTTCACTTTATCTACGTCCATTTACAATAAAATGGGTAATTTGGTTGTGTAGTACAAAAGCAATTTTTTGTGTAATATGAATTTATATTTTTATTTTGCCAATCATCTTATTTCTCTATGATAGACATTTTACAGCTGATGTAGTACTGACTGAACCTGGCAATTCTTTCCCCTTACTTGCCTTGAAGTGTATGATACATTTCTTTTCATTTGGTCTCTTGGGAGTTACATATGATATCTTTTAGCCAAATTGAACAATCACACACAAAATTGAACTCGGCTCAGATGAATGCATTAGAGGCAGTTCAGGGATAGAAAAAAAATCTTAGCTTGAAAACCACCATTTTAGCCTCAAGGAAAAAAGTCTAATTTTATGAATCATTATTTGTTATTTAAAACTCATGGATGTTACCAATAGAAATGTAAACATCGTTTCATTTCCTTTGCCGGGTTTTATTTCAAAAGTAATAGATAAAACAAAGAAATACTGTTAGGCTGGAAATAGTCAATAGAATCTGGATCAAACATATTGAGTCATTTCAGGTCACGATATCAAATTTTTCCTCAGTTTCTTCAGTTTTTGAACTAATAAGACACATCAGCTATCATGCTAACATTTTAACAAAGTCATTTTCTTCTTTTTTTTTGCAGGAAGATGCCAAGAAGGATGCCTCTGATGCATTGTATAATGACATCTTGAACAAGCAGATGCTCCTCAATGTAGAATATCGTGGTCAGGGTTTCGACTACGTTTCCCTGGCTTACACTGACAACAAGGATGACGTGGCCCTGGGGTTGATCTCAGAGGGTCTTCTTATTGTGGAGGGAAGAAGGGAGAAGAGATTGCAAAAATTGCTGGATGACTACAAAAAAGCCCAGGAGAAGGCTAAGGCTTCAAGGGTAAGATTACAGCCAGATTGTTTTATTCTCCTTAGCTTTTGGTCATAAGTTGACCAATGTTTATATAATTAGATTCTTAGATAAACATTTTTGGTAGGATTTTGAATAAAAAGTAATTTTGATGAGTTTTATTTGTAACAGTACTAACAGTACTATTGCATTAATTGTATTTCACTCAGTAATTGATGAAACAGCATACAGTCTAAATGTAAGGTTTAATTGGCATAAAATTAGTGTTAACAACATTTCATACATTGTGTACTTCAGTCTTTTTCTTTAGGTACATCTCATGTTAACCATTGGCATTTGTATGGAGAAAGTTATACCACAAATAAAATGTCTAGCTAAACCTATTCAGCAAATTGCTAGTTTTTTTTTTTCAGGTTAATCTGTGGCGTTATGGAGATTTCACAGAGGATGATGCAAAGGAGTTTGGATACAAATCTTAAGTCATTCTACCACAGCTCCCTGTTGCTCTAAAACAAGTTTCAAGCTAGTGACAATTTATAAATAAATTAAAAAAACCCCAAGTTTATGTACTTGATTTTATGGTGTTCAGTCTTTCTTAGGATGTACACATATTTATCTTTGTCATTTGACATTCCTATTAGTTGAGTTGACAAACGCTGGTAACCATATAACTCGAGTTCAAAATTCTGGGGTTCATTGAGGAGCAAACACAAGTTGAAGCTAGGTCATTTTTCAAATTGTTCCTAAAATCTTGTCATTACCATTTTCTCAATATGTTGATATGAGATTAGATACTTGTACACTTTAGTACAAGACATTTTTTTTCCATCATTCTGTGTGGAAACGGTGGTCATTGCAAGAAAAACTACTGCAGAAAGTGATAATGTGAAGGTTTTAATTTAATGCAGCATGAAACTAAGATAAAGGCAGTTATTTTTTAATGAAACAGTATATAATATTAAGCCTATACCTTCTATTAAAGGAAACCAATATTGGACATGGTATTAGACAGCATTGAATTATTGGTCAATGCTTCAGTTAGCTGGTTATTTTGAAGGAGACATTGGATCCCAGTTGCCAACTGATGAAGATGTGCATTTATAGATGTAATGGAAGATATAATATGGGAGCTGCAGCCAATGTTCAAGAAGTAAAAAGTTGTCTAAGATCATGTACATGGAATAGTGCAGCACTTTATCAAACCTTCTAGCTAGTAAACTTGCAAGATTGTTAGAGACAATGTGGTTCATATTTATCAAGTGCAATACATTCATTCGGTTCAAAATTTCACTCCATATGATGGATTGTTTGACTGGACTATTACCTACTTAAACAGTTTTTCACATTTCCAGTTCAGTCTAAGTTCTTATTTTTGCATGGAGCTATATTAAGAAATGCCATAAGCACAAATGAAATGGTATTGTTTATGAACAGAACTTTGCTAATTAAAGGTTATGCCAATTTACTATCATAGGTATTAGTTGGATCGACTATAATATGGGTGCTTGGTGTGAAAAATGGTACTAATGCTGTAGAAACACACAGAAAGTTTTAATGTGAGAAGAACTTCTGATGTAGTGCTGAGACTGTTCCAGTATAAATGTAGGCAATAAATACTGCAAACCAGCCAAAGTGTTTTCATTCTTTTTTTAATCATCATAAAATCTATAAGACCTGCAACAGTTTTTATCAACATTGAACAGCTGGACATTTTGACAGCCTGTGTAGCCATTGCCATATCTAGCAATAAGACCTATAAGAACAGGGTGCATATTGTTGCTTGGGGCTCCTTCATTACAAATGTAGACTTGTCTTATCTGCACATTCTGCCATAACTGGTCATCCTGGAAATCCTTCACGGGCTAAAATACAATCCAAATAATTAGTACCATTGGACCATTCTAATTCACAATGTATTTGCAACCTTGAAAGAGAAATAACTGGGAATAAAGCTATATTTTACTTCTGACAAGTTATTTTCACATCTAAGAAAGGGCAGGTCTTTGAAGTTTGAGAGATAAGCACAAATGTTAATCCCCTCCCCATTTTTTTTAAATTTATTTTTTGTTTGTTTTTCACTTAAATCATTGAACCTGCACATCTTGGGCCATCAGTATGCAACAACCATATCAGATATCCTCCTCTGTATATGGACACCTTTCACTAATATCCATAATTAATCCACACTTTTTGTATTCTGAAAGGATAATTTATCAAATAGGCAATTTTATAATCCAAAGAGAAACATAAAAGATACATTTTTGCTTTTTTTCAACAATTGGAATGAAGTCACCTGATATGTTTTAAGGGTGGTACCTCACAATAAAAAAATTTTGATTAGTACAAACATCATGACAAAAGAGTCCATTTAGCAACAAGACAATTATGAAAGGTGGGGCTAGATTAGCACCAGCCTAGTTAAACACATTCCCACAATACCTGACATTTAGAGAAACGAAATATCTTTATTCAGCCCCACCTTTCTTTTTTTTATGTCCAAAGACAGCATAAATATCATCAAACACCAACAGGGTTATCCTATTTAACAAAAAAAGAAAATTGCTTTTATCACCTTACATAAACCCCATGCTTTTCTCAAAACCTGTGATACTTATTAGCTTGAAGTTCATGTTTCCTAGTCAGAGCGAATATGAATGTAAATGGGTAGTGTGTGAGAGAGTGACAGGAGCAAATGCAATTTTACAAAGCAAACAGTACTTTTATTTTTTACAGTAGTCAAGTTTTGCAACCTAGTTTTAATGCATTCCCACAATACATGACATTTTGAGAAATGACAAATTTTTAATCAACTCTTATTCCCCCTTTTTTATTCCCAAATAAAGCAACAATATCTTGATACACCAACAGGGTTATCCTACTTTTAGACAAAAATGGAGAAGTGCTTTTATCCACTTACATAATTCCCATACCTTTCAACAAAACCTGTGATACTTATTAGCTTAAAGTTCATAATTCCCAGTCAAGGAAATTAGATGCACTGGACAGCAATATACTGCTTACCACCAAAAACGGAAGTATAAGTGAAATTGGTCCTTTTATTCTTATCTTCTCTTTGTACAAGAATACCTTTGAGAATACTTTCATATCCTTATTTTCTTCATTTTGACTGCCCTTAATTACATGGTGGGTGTCTGGTATTTGTCATTTTGCAATAAACTCTGGTGCATTTTCTTTATTTCATTGATGTTGAGCTGACAGATTTGTGGAATAAATATACTGCAAGTATCCAAGTTGGATGTAAAAGGAAAAGATATGAATTTGGTAAAGATGTGGGAGATATTAATATTTTTTTTCATGTAAAACAATATCCTATATTGTTTTACATGGAAAAAAGAATAAAATCTCCCATGTCTTTACCAAATTCATATCTTTCAGCAAGGGAGTGATCTTGTGTAAAGCAGTAGCAATATATGCTTGAATTTTTCAAGAAATAAGCAAGAAATAAAAGTTTGCTGTAATGAACAATGCAGAAAGCGCTACCTCAGGGCTACTGATACGCGGAACCCATTTTTCAGTAAGCCACAGAAAACTGAGTAATGTTTTTTATTTCTTAACCATTTATAAGATGTCTATCAAAATAAAAAAGCCAAAGCCTAGATTACATTTGCCATGCCATGCCAGTATGGTGCTGTATACTGCCCATAAATCCCTTTCTATGCAGCATCTGGTAAGAGGCTGTGTGAAATTGTATAAAATCACATAGATTTGTGGCCTTGATGATTTTGTCAAACTAAAGCTTTTGACAAATTTGTAGGCCTACAGGCTGTAGCATTATCACAGATGGCATTGTACAATCCTCGTATGGACATTTTCTAGTGAACTTGCTGTGATCGTGATATTGATGGAACTCTGTTGACCTCTTTTACTTCTACCTTTTGTGATTGTGAAAAAGTGGGTTTCCTTACTCTGACCACATGAGTGCTTAAAATCATATTAATGCTGTACCAACAATAGTTCAATCTTTGAGGAAATTGCATGGAACTGCATATGGCAACTGCACAGAGACTGAAAGGGCTCTGTATATCCACTTTTCAATCGACAACTGACTTTTCCCCCCCATGTGAGGTAATGTCATAGAAATACTGCCCTGGCATGTAATGTTAATGTACTGGCCATAGCCCGTAGCTACTTAAGATGTAAAAAAAAAAAAATTGTACTGAAATTTGTATACAATTTCATTATATGGTGCCTGTGTCAAATGTAATCTAAGCTTAACTGATAACATGTCACTGGTGTACATGAATTGATCCCACTGTCTTGTAACTTACCAACAAATTATGTGAGGTACACTTATGGCACCCTTGCCTTCATGGTGCCTCATTCCCTCATTATTGTCCCTCCTGGCTCTTTATTACACATTATCAGGAAAAAAGTTGAATGTGCACAATGTTTGTCAAAATTGTTGCTTAGTTAATTCTGCATTTAGATTGGTCATTCCTAACTGGAATTTCAAAACTTTAAAATTTACAGATCTGTTATCTATTTCATGTGCAAGCAAATAAAGAACATCAAAAGTACTCATGTTAACTCTAAACCTGGTACAGGCTTAACATGAAACTGCCATGAATTTATGGTACAAACTTAGTCAACTATGCCTACCACAATTTTTATTCAATTTTCTTGAGAAAATGAAACTGACATAATTGATAGGTATGTGAACACTCCTCTAACTCAAAAAGAAATGGAACTTCATCATTGCAATGTTCAAAACCCAATAGTATTTCAAATAAGACCGACTCTGAATTATCTAACATCTAATGGAGTTACACATACATAACTGATCTCTGCTGATAACAAATTGAAGACACCTGCACACACAAATTAAATGTAAGGATTTTTCATTGGCCACATTTTGCATTCCTAATTTTATTTGAAAATGAATGGAGGGTTTTAAGGAAGCAACCTTCAGATGTTTCTTTATTGAGAAACAAAGCAGCAAAGCTGTCAAATGTACAGACAAAAAGCACCAAATACAAGTGCAGAAAATAGGTTGTCAATTTTGGTGCAATAAATAATGCTTATATCAAAGTCAATCAACACCAAATTTTAATCATGCACAACAGGTAACATGGACAATAAGAATATATGAGAGTTCAAATTCACATAATGAAAATATCAATATGTAAAAAATGATGACTGTGCATAAAACAATATTACATAATGCTTAATGGCATAAACACCAATGCTATTGCCTATGTGGAAATACAGAAAATGTTACTTAGACCCCATTCCCAGAGATTAGATCGATCCAACTAGATCGACCTAACTCCCTGGGGGTTCACATTAAATAGCTGTCAGCCGAGCGGACACGAAAGTTAATTACCCCCTTACAGCTTGTAGTAGGTGGGACGGACATTTAAGCCAGATTATCTGACAGTAATCTAGTGAGACTCCCCATGGGGATAGATTGATCTAAAATCTATGGGAATGCGCCCTTATACAGAGCTTCAGCTGAATGGGAGTGAAAAGTCACATCTTGAAAATGACAGTGTTTGAAAAATAAAAAAATTAAAAAAGAAAACACAAAAATATACCAATTAAGCTGCTATTCAAATTTTAATTTAGCTGTATTAACATGATATGAATAACCCCATTGAGTTTGAGGATAATAAGGAACTGTTATTTCCATGGCGACGACAGACTCAGGTGACAGCTAAATGTACAGACACGTGTCTGAACATAAAAAAATTAAAAAAGCAGAAATGTGCTGAGCTGGCAACTCTGCATGAGATCACCTTTCTCATTTTTAATCTGTAATGTTTACCTCAGATTAATCCGACATCCTGGGGTGAAGTTACAAACATAAAAGGTATCAAATCCAGGAGAAGCACACCTAAGATAAGTCATAAGTATGATGATATTTGATACTTTGGACAAGAATCAAAACACATAAATCATTTAGCCTAAACAGAATAAAAATACATAATAACACTATTGAAAAACAAGAAAAGTTGTAAACCATCATATAGATGTTTTGGGCAGGAATACTTTGAGAATCTGCAGCCTATCTTTGAAACTGATTGTATAAGTATTGTTAACTAATATTTTGGTTCGATGCTAGGACTTTCCAACACATTTGACTTTATCACTATAAGATTCCACATTATTCTGCACCACTCCATTTACTTCCACTGCCATCCCTTCCTCACTTCTTCCTTTCATGTCATGTGACTTAACAGTGGAGTCCCAGCCACAGGTGTAGAGAAATTCCGTTGTCTGGCACCATGACACACCACGAACAAAGTCAGTATGAGAGGTATCACGATAACTGGAAAAAGATGAAGAAAAAATTAATGAAGCCTTATTTTCAACTCTCTGCTTTTGGTACATATGACCACCAAAAATTACAGTTTCCATATCAAAATGCCATATAGTATTATATAATATACCATACATCCTGTCCTAGCTAATAATATCAATAACAACAACAATAAGGTTTATCACATGCTTTTTTTCTTGATCAGAGATATTCAATGGGTGTATCCTATGAGTCAATAAGGGATCAATGGTCTGAGGGTTCACTTGTCCATAGGCTTATTAGTATAAATCTTTAGACTACTGAGATACGCTTTACATCAACTAAAACAAAACTTTCAGCATTATACAATATTATACAAAAAGGGGTATGGAATTAAACTTAATCAGAAAAACATAATTACCCAAAAACAAGAATTACATTTCTCCTAGTTACAGATACTTAGATTTGTTGCATGTTCACCAAATTGTGAGGAAGCACTTCATAATCACATAATGGCCGTCACTTGGGAAAAGCATGATGGTTGGAAATGAACTACATAGACACCTTTTAATGAAGTGAGGAAATTATTCTATTGTCGTATCTTGTCAAATTGCCATGAACTTATCAGCTGACAGACAACGAAACCCGATCCTAGCTGACAGAAGAGACTACCCATGGGAGTCGTTAGCACAGTGGTTCTTAACATTTAGGTTTGTTACTGGAGAGAGGAAAAAAGTCATCTGTCTGTGTGACAAAAAGAAAGTTGTGATTTATTGTGAAACAAGGGAAATTTGACCATGATTGAGGAAGGGATTTTCTGCAGTGGGTAGAATTTTAAACATCAGAATATCTAGAGAATTACGATTGGCATCTGACAAATTTAATAACACAGGAAAGGGTTATTCAACAGGCATTTATAGTTGAGCCACACAGGTCTTTAAAATATTATCTGTACTATATATTATCTATTACTATTTGTCTGTTTGATGTTTTTCAATAAAGCATTAGAAAAATATAACTAAATATACTCCACATTACAAATTTAACAAGCTTTCTCTTGTTTGAGACCATTAAAATCTCTGTCTGCATTACACTAAGGTGATCATCTGAGATATCTTGAAGTCTCACAAATTAGCATAAAATAAAGCAAGATTTGGAGAGAACCCTATGGGAAATTTAATTGTTTTTGCATAAATTATCAATTTTCTTCACTGATGTGTGTTGGGGCGGTAGGCCACATGAGATCTCCCTCTCTTGCAACTGTCAATGTTTATAGGTATGGACACGACTTCAAAAAATAAATAAATAAATAAATAAATAAATAAATAAATAAAATAATAATAATAAAATTAAATAAATACATACATAAATAAATAAATAAAAACTAAAACTGTACTTTAGTTCTAAAAATCATCTTTAAGTTTGAGAACAATAAATGAGTTTTTCTTTAATGATGTTAACAAGAAAAGTGCATGACAATGTCACACAGGTGATGGCTGAATATCCAAAGAGCGTCTTTCCATTAAAAGTAGCCTGCAGAAATTAAGATGGAAACCCTAGAAAACGCATGAATGCAAAGTTCATTTTTTTTGCTCATGTGTAGGCAACAAAACCATTGGTGCACAAGTTCTTATCTCATCATTACCAGGAAACAAATCAAGACTCATGAAAGGGAATTTAGACTGACGTGGAACTGTAATCTTTCAGTGTGTGATGCCAATGTAATGAAGTTATTAACACTAAACCATCATTTCAGAGGGGGTAATAGGGGGTTTCTTCCAAAAATATTACACTGCAATTTCTACCATCCTCTTGTATCTGTCATGTATCTGAAAAGTGGAATGAATAGCCACTTAATATTCAATTATAGATACTAAAAAGTTTGTCTTCATAAAATAAATAAACAATTATTTAAAACAACATCAAGTAACTGTCTGATATTCCTGATTGCCCAATCTGATACTAACACAGAACTTAACAGAACCTAGCCACTTCCAAGACATGATGCATGGACCATACCTTCAAAATACACAAAAAGCAAATTCATGAGAATGAACATTGCAAAATTTCCATAGTGTTCTATTGCACATTCAGGGAGTGCACAAAAGAACTAGGTGTTCAATTTTATTTTTCAATTACAGCTTCCACCCAGTAATTTCGCACAGAAAATTAATCCATATCTTGCACAATGTACATATGATACCAAGAATGATGTTATGAATGCATGTCACCATTTGCACATGGCACAATCATAGCAAGTCATTAGTAATCTTAATCAAAAAAAGATCATGCCAGATGGAATAATTACAGAAAATGTGGTTTCTCTATTCAATGAAGGATGTGATATTATGTAAAAGATTTTGGTACATGCATCTCAGCAGACAAGTTAGTAAAGGCATTAATAACACTGCCAATGATATTTGGTAATATGTAAGAATTAAAACAGAAATAGAAGCAAAAATATGACTAAGCAATTTCAAAGAGGAAATGATTTTTACAATTTTACAAGATGTGTTAACTCATGCTTAAATGTCACATGATAAACAGGTGCAATCTAGGTTTTCTCCCAGATTGCTTTGGTCAATTTCCATAGGATTTTGAAAGATCTATAAGGATGTTATGGAAAAATATAAATGGTAGAAAGGGCTTTATTATGTGAAAGATAAATTAGTAATGATAATAGTATATCTTAACTGTCCATGAAAAAGAGATCTACTCATGCTTAACTTTAATTGAATGATGCCAATGGAATAATTAGAATGTTCTTATGAGAAGTTGGGCATTTCTATGTAAGTACATAAAGTGATGCATGATTTGTTTAATAAAAAAAATTATATTATCTCATTCCATTCATTTTGTTAATTCTATATTCTTGCCATGATCAAACTTTATTTTAATGGTTTCTTTAAAATCTGTTATTTCTAAACATAATTTAACTCTCTGGATATATTGTTCTTGGTAAACATCTGACACAAAATAATCACATAATTCACACATATTAATATAACATCAATTCATTTCATTAACTGCTCACAGAAGGAAAAACTGTGGTTTCATTTCCTGTGAGTTATCTACTAATTTCCCTTTTAACTTGCTCTATAATGAACTACCATAAATTCACAAATTTATGAAGATGTCAAAATCTGCATGGAAACAATTAATATGCCTAACCAAACATAAAGAAGTCTGGTATGCAAACTTATTTTACAACATGTCTGATCAGATATGAGGAAATAAATACATAAATTTAAACAAAAAGGAACTTATTATTAGAAAAAAGTTGGAGCAGTTCAAATATATAGTATTTGCTCAAACAAATTCCACAGCAAAACTATGAATTGGTCAATAAGCTATAGCTATCTCTCCAAGATCTACCCAGATATTATGATTGGCAGATAATGCACACACTGCAAATGACAAAAAGTGCACTAACATTTGTTTAATAACATATAGCCAAGTAACATGAGTGTTTTACAAAAATAAGTAGAATAAGAAAAATACAAACAATGGGTTAGTAAGTCTTCATGATCAGAGCTTATAAAATCCTTAAAAACAAATTTTGTATTTTAATGCAATCATTTAAACACTGCAATTCTACAAATTTCACTTAATTTGAGAAAAGAGACAATAGCAGAATTTTAAGATAAATCACACAGAAATGTAGCAGCATAGAAATATCTCTCTGCAAATTTTTTTCAAAAATAAGTTAATTGTGATTATGAATACATTTCTCATTGACAAGATACAACAATATACATCTTTGAATCTGTCAGCCTTTTTTTCATGAACATTACTTTTAGTTGAGTGGGGTTAATTAGGTGTTGTTTGATCACTTTGGCAACTTATGTATAATTCAAAACTAAGAATGATTTCATCTTGTTGCAGGACTCTTAACTTAATCATCTCATGAGGCATATCAGTGTGGAGTCTAGACATAGACATCACATACTGATCCAAGATAGCTCATAATCTTCCCGTTTTTCCATTCCCATCACGACTTATCTTTTTACTTCAGTATGTAGATTCTGCTGTGTGATTGGTAAAATCCTATCATATATACCCTACATATGCACATTTCAGTAATTAATCCATGCTTTAGTTTTTCATTATGCAAAATTCATTTTCAGATCTTGCACAAATCTTCAATTGTCATTGGTTGATGCAAAATTCACAGAGATTGTATCTGGACCAATCAGGTCACCAAACAGCATTTCTATAATTGAGATCAATTGAGTCAGTGACATTCTCCCCACTGTCACAATCTTCAGTTTAAATGGTGTGGCACTAGCCTTCAAGAACAGAGTGCCTTGGAAAGTGCTGCCTGGTCTGAGCTAGTTCCTGCCAAAAAGCAAGCTGAGGACTGATCATAACATACAAGGTAAGGAGCCACTGCTCAAATACATCACCAAACTTCTCTTTTAGCTCTGTTAAAATTAAGAACCTTTTATTTACCTTATCACCAAAATGGAAATCTTAAAATATACACAACTTTCTGAATATTTGAAGAATTTAGAAAAAACAGGAGATGGGTAAGTTATGTTTTTTTCTGTGCCATTTATTTATTTTTTTTTTGTCAAAAATTTGACACTGTTATTTTTGTATTGATTATGTATAGCACAGAAGGGTATTGAGTAAAACTTAATAAGTGACTGGATAAAGATCTGATCATCCTTATCATCCAGCCTAGAACTTCCAAATTCACTTTATAACTCATCTGTTTTCAACCTGATCTTTTCCTGATAATAAAATCTTCTTGAAAAATATCACGTCCAGCTTCTCTCAGCTAACAGTTGAATTAAGATATATATTCATGACATATCTTAACACTAAATTAAGCTGAAACAGGGACAAAGAAAGCAACCATTAAACTGCATTACTTATTTGAAGTACCTCTCAAATGCACTTTTAGATCCTAAGCTCCCAAAATGACCTAAAGCAAAGAACTACTAGGCTACTTTTTAGATCTGTTTAATCACTAAAATCAAAATAGAGCTTTCTTAGCATATTCATCACCAGAATCTGATATAAAT